CCCCAATAAAAATCTTTAAAAAAAAAAAACATTTGTACACTGCCGTTTTATTTATGGCATTATCCCCATAAATTTGGACTAACATGTCCCTGATTTCACTTCCACTTTTGCCAAGTTTAACAAGAAATTTAATGTTTGTTGGTTGCTCTAATTCAAGCTTAGACATTCTCGCAAAGGCACACAAAAACATGCAACAATAATGAACGCCACTCAGTAAGACACCGCCACATGTCAACACGAACACAGCTGTGAGACACTGATATACCAAGGTTATGAAACCTTACCAAGCTGTTTGTACAGTGCTGCCAATGTAAGTGCACAGTGGTAAGTTCGCAAACTTAATTGCCAGACCTCGTAGATGAACAAATAGAGCCCAGAAATAAACACATGCCTATATGGGTCAATTAATCTATGACAAAGGAGGCAAGAATATACAATGGGTTAAAGACAGCCTCTCCAATAAATGGTGTTGGGAAAACTGGATAGACGCATGTAAATAAATGAAACTAAATTACCTTCACACACCATACACAAAAATAAACTCAAAATGGATTAGAGACGTAAATGTAAGATCTGAAACTATAATACTCCTAGAAAAAAAAAGTGCAATAAACTCTTTGACATTGGTCTTAGCAATATTTTTTTGGATATGTATCCTAGGGCAAAGACAACAAAAGCAAAATAAAGAAATGGGACATTAAACTAAAAAACTTTCACACCACAAAGGTAACCATCAACAAAACAAAGCAACCTACTAAATGGGAGAGGTTATCTGCAAAAAATATATCTGATAAGGGATTAATATCCAAAATATATAAAGAACTTATACAATTCAATATCAAAAGAACAAACAATCCAATTAAAAAATGGGCAGAGGACCTGAACAGACATTTCTCCAAAGAGGACATACAGACGGCCAATAGACATATGAAAAGATGCTCAACATCAGGGAAATGTTAATTAAAAGCACAATGAGATACCTCTTCACACCAGTCAGAAAAGCTATTATCAATAAGTCAACAAACAAGTGTGGGGAAAAGTGAAACTTCGAGCACTGTTGGTGGGATTGTAAATTGTTACAGCCACTATGTTAAACACTATAGAGGTTCCTCAAAAAATTAAAACTAGAACTACCATATGACCCTGCAATTTCACTCCTAGGTATTTACCAAAGAAATCCAAAACACTAATTTGAAGATATATGCACCCCTATGTTCATTGCAGTGTTGTTTACAATAGTGAAGATATGGAAGCAACCTAAGTGTCTATCAACAGACAAATGGATAAAGAAGAGGTGGTATATATATAAAATGGAATATTACTCAGTTATAAAAAAGAATGAAATCTTACCATTTGAGACAACATGGATGGGCCTTAAAGGTATTATGCTAAGTGAAACAAGTCAGACAAAGACAAATATATCACTTATATGTGGACTCTAAAAAAACAAAGTAAATGAAGAAATAAGGCAGAAATAAACTCATAGATATGGAGAACAAACTGATGGTTGTCAGATGGTAGGGGGGTTACAGGGATGGGTGAAAAGGTGAAGGGATTAAGATGTGCAAATTGCCAGTTATAAAAATAGTCACGGGGGTGTAAAGTACAGCATAGGGAATATAGTCAATAATATTGTAACTATGTATGGTGTACTAGACTTGTGGTGCTCACTTCATGCGGCATGTAAATGTCTAACCACTATATTGCACACCTGAAGCTAACATAATATTGTATGTCAACTATAATCAAAAAATAAATTTTTAAAATAATAATGCATAGTTATGAGAAAAACATCACACAAATTCCATTATTATGGCATCCTACAAAATACCTGGCCAGCACTCCTCAAAACTGTCAATGTTTTCAAAAACATGGAAAGTTAGGAAACTGCCACAGCAGAAGGAGACATGCTAACTACCTGGAATGTAGTATCCTGGATGGGATCCTGGAATAGAAAAAGGATATTATAAAAGTTAAGGAAAGCTTAATAAACAATGAACTTTAGTTAGCAATAATATACAATACTGGTTCAATTTTTACAAGTGTATCATACTAATGTTAAGAGGTTAATAATGGGAAATTAGGTGTCAAGTATATGAGACCTCTGTACTACTTTCTCAAATTTTTAAAAAATAAACCTAAAGCTACTCTAAAAAAAATCTATTAAGAAAATACGTATTAAAAAGTGTAACACAATGACCTCTGTATATTCAATATCCAGCTTTAAAATTATCAATAGCCAAAGCCTTCCTTATACCTCTTTTATAGTTCCCTCTCTATCAAACATGACCACTTTTCTAAATTTAATTTTTATCCCCTTGTATTTCTTGACTACTTTCACTACATATGCTTATATACCCAAGCAATATATAGCATTGTTTTAAAATTGTATACACATAAATTGTCATACTACATATATTCTACATCATCCTCTTTTGCCTCTAGGTTGGCTTAAACTTACTGACATACAATATTCCATCATAGATATCCCACAACGTATTTAAACTCCTATTGATGGATGTTTCCTATTGTTTGCTTCTACTCGCAGTGCTGTTATGTACATCATTGTTTACATACCAAAGTTTCTATAAAATATATACTTTGGACGAAACGCTGGGGTTTAATATTTGAACATTTTCAGTTTCACTATATTTTGCCCAACTGCTTTCCCAAATGGTTGCAACATTTAGGCAACTACCAGCAAGTGCGTAATATGTTTTGACGCATTTGGGAGAAAAAAACTTTTGAAAGACATACAAATTGGATAATATTCTTGCTTTAACTATAGTTTGAATTTTGTGCCCATGTAGTCATTTCTACAACCAACCAACCAGCAGCTACGAGCACTGCAAAACACTCACACGCTATAGGACAAGCCACTTGGTGCCCAGAGACACAGACACACGCCCGGCTTCCGACGTAACCGCTGACGCAGAAGCGAATGAAGGCACGCTCAGGACGCAAGCGTCATGTTGTCGACTTGAAAGCCCCTTTCCGGGCTGTCTAGCAAAATCCAAGTATATGCTGATAGTGGTCCATTGCCTATTTTTAGTAAGAAAGAAAAATATCCAGACAGGCTCTGCCTGTCCTCGGGGCGATCTCCTAACCCCAGAAGAGACGTTTTCGGTTGGCTTTTTTTCAGGCACTGCCGCGGGCAGCCCGCAGGCCCTTGTAAGGCATGCGCCACGGCTCCACCTCCTCCTTTTCGGCTGGGACCGCCATCTTCCAGGTAGGCTGTGCGCGTGGCTCCCCGCGAGTCTCATTCGACGGACTTGAGTTCTAGCCCTTTGGCCACTGAGACCATGCCCTGGGGCCCTAGCGAGACAGTGTAGACTGTCTGGGACCCAGTGGCTTCGGTGGTGGAGTTATGGCCATTCAGACTAGGAGTGGCGTGTCCTGGGCCGGGCCTCGGCCCGCGCGGGCTGTTGACTAGACTGATTCTACGGCCCTGCAGGGACCCGGCTCGCGAAGAACGAATCCGAGTCACCAGGGTGAAGCGACTCGGGTCATTCTGGACAGGAATTCGTTTTAACTGTGTTCCCGCGGTCTCCTGGGCCCTTTTGGAAGGACAGACTCGGTGGGGCCGCGCGTTTTCTGATGCCTTTCAAATTCCTTTCAATGTGGCATTTTTACCCATAATCTAACCCTACACTTGAAATGCTGTCGATTTGGGACTTCAGGTTAGTGGGAACGGTTTTAATCTTGGGTGAGGCCTGGTTGTGTGAGTGAAAGCCTGGACTCGAGGCCGGAAAACGGAATTGGTGCTGCCCACTCTGTCGGCCAGGATAACGAACCCCGCATCTCGTCGTCGGTGCATGAAGTGATTTCCAGTTGTTTTTAGTTTTGGCCCAGATCGCAATTGGAGAACGGAGAAATACTTTAATAAGATTGCCACACAAAATACTGTTTTGTTAATGCTAGCGCAGCTTGTGTTGAATGGATTAGTTGTGTCTGATTTAGACGTTTAGGGGAAAAGTTATTGAATAACCACTTAATCATGGGTTTTTATGGGTTTAGTTTGTAGATAGTAGCCATCAGCAACCAGAGTTAAGCAAACTGCTGGTTGTACCCCATAATGAGTCATATGTTTGGAAATAATAGAATCTAACGTATCATCGCTTGTCATTGATAATTGAGTATCTTAAAAACTTGTTTGATTTTATGTAATGTAAAATGAATTTCTTTCTCTGGAAGATGGGTCTGGTACAGGAGCATGGGCTCTGGCGTCAGAAATGACTCCCATTACTGATTCTGCCACTTTCTTACATAAAGTGACTTGGACGTGCAGAGCATCTCCTTGTTTATGAGCTTTACACAAGTTAATAGAGATTGTGAGGATTAAAATAGTCTGGCACTTACTAGACCTTAGTTGCCTTTTAAAAGTTGTAACAATGCTTTGGCTTCATTGGGTTAGGTGGAACATGCCTGTCTCTGCCACTCACTCAAGTTATATGGAAAAGGTACTTTGGAGTCAGTTTTCTTTAAGATTAAGGAGTGTTAATAAATTGAGACCAATTAATGTTAAAACGCTGTCAACAGGTTAAGCCTGGCTGTAGTATATTTTGCCTTATGTTAGGAGTAATTGCCAGCAATGGTAGTTCTGTCCTTGGATGATCCAAAGCAATTGGAATTGGTATTTTGACCTTTTGGGGAACCAAGTGAAAGGTTCCATTCTAAATGCCTGGTAGGTGAATTCTTAGGCAATGATGAGTTACCATTTACTGGTAAGCTCTTTGCATGAGTTTGGAATTGCTGAGTGCTTTGTAGACATTACCTCAGTTAATTATAAAAGTATTAATCCCATTTTACAGGTGATGATTGGAATAAATGTAGGTTTCCCAGCAAGTAAGTAGCAGAACCTATATCAAAATTAGGTCAGTGATTATAAAACTTGGTTTTTCCCCTTCTGCCCTATATGCATGACCTAATAAAGAGTTGTGTAAACAATCAGAAATAGAAGAGAGGTGGAGATTTTTGACAGTTAATAGACTATAAGATATACTGTCACAAAAATAAGGTTTGTAAAAAAAGGGATTTGTTTAATCCACTGTGTAAAAATGCGACGCTGAGTTTTGTTGTGGTTTCCAACAATGAATTTAATTGCACTTGGGATTCTAGCCTAGGTTCTACCTAAAATAGTGTGGTAGAGGTCCTGTTGTGTTTTTATATTCTAATAAAGAACGTACTGTTTTGCGTTCTAAAATCACACTTCTGCTATTGAGTCTTAATGTTATAGAACTTAGGCAGTTTTGGCAAAGATTTTGCTAAAACGATGGTTTTTACTCTTCATAAAAAATATTGATTGGTGAGCCAACTTTGAAGATTCCTTATTCTGACATTGCTACTGAAATGCAAGAATTTGAAATTAACGGTATTTTTGGTTAAAGAGACAAATATCGATTTTGTGATTGTATTTGACTATTACACTTTCTGGTTTCAGTAATTCGTCAAGATGACCAACACAAAGGGAAAGAGGAGGGGCACCCGCTATATGTTCTCTAGGCCTTTTAGAAAACATGGTGAGTAGATTTAGCTTCTGAGAGCAAGCGTGGCATACTGTTGTGTTTTATTAACATTGGTGTTGGCATTTCATATCATGTATTCTTAATGGCATAAATTAACTAGCACCTACCCAACATATTGTAATAAAAAGCATGAATTTTATATAGTTCTTAGTCAACTAGCAAGATTTTTAAAGTATGTACCTGTCAAAGATGGTATGTGTTGGAAACGTGTAAGATTATATATTTGACTTAATCCTGATAATACTTCTTTGGGTTTTGTTTGGGTTTTTTTTAGGAGTTGTTCCTTTGGCCACATACATGCGAATCTACAAGAAAGGTGATATTGTAGACATAAAGGTAAATTATAAAATTGGGGAAATAATAGAAGTTAGAAAAGTTAGATTTAGTCTAATATTGGAGTTTAAGTACTAGGGTATATGGCACCTACAAGAGTATTGAACAGCTAATATAATTTTACTTTTGAAACCATTTTTAACAGCCAGTGGAAAAATTAGGGGAAATTAACATGAGTTTGTGGAGGTGAAAAGGAATGAATACCCTAGTGCAAAATTTAATAATTTATAGAGATAATTTAAAATCAGCAAAAGCTGTGTTGTCTTGTGACCAATATTTAAATGTGTCCTGGCACTGTAGAGCTTAATGATGATTGTCTTTTTGATTGCTTAAAGCAATGTGAAAAACACATTTCACCGGCTCTGAAAGCTTTTGAGTTGCCAGTTAAAAGAAAAATCTTAGTGTCTCAGATACTTTAATAAAAAGAGTTTAAAAGGAAAGAAAAATTGCTGGCATAACATTTATCTCCTTCATACAGGGAATGGGCACTGTTCAAAAAGGAATGCCCCACAAATGTTACCATGGCAAAACTGGAAGGGTCTACAATGTTACTCAGCACGCAGTTGGCATTGTCGTAAACAAACAAGTTAAGTAAGTAATGTCATTGTTCTTTGTGGCTAATGAGCATTCCCTCATACCCACTTTTCACTTTGCCAGTTGGACTTATGTCTTTATTGGTCATTCAAGTGGGGCAAAGGAAATATCCTTTTAAAACTCAAGCAAACTGGGTGTTTGTCTTGTATCCTGTCAGAGGAAACAAATTGAAATAGGCTTACTGGAAAGTCTTGTTAGTTAGTGATCTGGTTTTGGTTAAGTTATTTAGGATTTTCAGGGTCTGACAGCTTAACCTATCTGAATAAAATGTTCATGGTTTATTTAATACATGAAAATACTAAAAGTTTTGAATTTTGGTTATATTTTGTATGAAGCATTTATAAGAATTTCTGCTTTCACCAGGGGCAAGATTCTTGCCAAGAGAATTAATGTTCGTATTGAACATATTAAGCACTCTAAGAGCCGAGACAGCTTCCTGAAACGGGTGAAGGAAAATGATCAGAAAAAGAAGGAAGCCAAAGAGAAGGGTACTTGGGTTCAACTGAAACGCCAGGTGAGTGCTTGACAAAGTTTCTTAGTTGGTCTTGGGAATTTTAAAACTTGGTCAGTGATAAGTTTCTTCTACGTGAAAGTTAGTGAAGTGAAAGAATTGAGTACATGTCATTTCATTTGGTTCTGGCAGCACTTTGAAATTGAGTTACAATACTTTACATAATTATTCTCTCCTCTTTTTAATAGCCTGCCCCACCCAGAGAAGCACACTTTGTGAGAACCAACGGAAAGGAGCCTGAGCTGCTGGAACCCATTCCCTATGAATTCATGGCATAAATGTAAAAATAAAAAGATCTCTGTATTGTTAATATTTCTCTTCATTGAGAAGCGTGGTGTCCCCGCCCCCAAAGAAATATTCCAAAAAAACTTGAAGTTGTGTCCTAATTCATTGGGTGATGTCTCTCCTATTCTAACGTAATGTTTCTTCTTGATGAAAGATGTGAGGTGGTTTATTGTGCAACAAAAGATACTCCATTGGTTAGGACACTTCATGTCTTGAATTATAATTGAGCTCAGGGAAAGTTGATTACTTATAAATCTGTGATAACTAACTTATTTTAAAGATCAGGAACCTGCCTTTCAAGCCTGCTACTTAAAAATAGATTGTTTAAAATACCCTGTTCTTTGTGAGTTACATACTAGTTGTCAGTTGCTTCCACCTTTCATGGAACAGGACTTAGGAAATAATAGTGCTTGTGTGTAATTTGAAACTAGAATACCTTTTTTATTTTAACCAAGGGCAGACATTTACATAGCAGTTAATATATTGTGTGGCATTCTAAGCATTTTAATTTACTCAGAAATCTTGTAAGTACTGTTTTGCCCATTTTAGGTAAAAGGAAGCTGAGGCACAGTTAACTTGTTGGAGGTTACAGGTGCAAAGTGTCAGGCGAAGAGTCAAACCCAGGTGGTCTGGCTCCAAAATCAGGCCTCAATCACTAGTGTTGTATTGCCTGCCTCATTAATGGGAACATTTTAAAGCTATGGTACTTTGTATAGTTGGAGCACATTTAAATTATTCTGTTGCTTCCTGGATATCTTGACTCCTTTGTGGCAAACATCTCCAGTTCCACATACCCATCCTGCCTGCTTTGTTTTCTGTGATAGCCGTAGCAATATAGTATCTGTTTGAAATGGAAACCTTGACTTCTCATAGAGATTCTCTTCCCCACTAAAAGACTTAAGGACAAGAACTATTCATTTTTACAACTTCAGCCAGTGCTGTGAATGGGTAAAAAACCAGAGTTGGCCTTCAGTTTCTCCAGTGAAGTGTGATGGTAATGGGTCTGCTTTGGAATCCAGCAAATCTGGTTGAGAAACTCGGTAAATGCCTAACATAACTCGAATGGTGGTTAACTGCACTTAAAGGTTCACATCTAGTGATAGAGAGTTGTGTTTGAACATAATTACATTGGTCAACAGAATTTACCACCATAGCAGACAGCAACAAGGAAAATCTTACCAATTGCATCGTTTGGCATTCCTGTTCTGTATTTTTCAATCGTAGTTGATACCAGCATGGGCCCAATTGAAGTCATTTTAAGCTCACATGTCCTTCAATTTACATATTTTAAAATTCTATTTCCTGAATATCTTTAATAACCATTTCAATTCCCAACCCTTTGGTCATTTTCATTTTTCCCTTAAATTATTACAACTTTAGAGGGTCCCTGTGGTTTGTCCCCTTCAGTCTCAGATTTTACCAAGGCTGTGTCTTAGCATTCTATAAAAATAAACTTGGCCTGTCTTTTTTTTTTTGTTTTCTTTATAGTACTACTACCTAATATGTTTTGTTAGAGGATCTGAGTTATCAACTTGCATCAATGTTAAGTGAGGAAATATTTACTGTTATACCTACTCTACGGGGAAAGGAGGTTAAGAGAAGCAAACCATTAACAAGGTTACAGTCCCAGAGCAGCAGTAAGATCCCAAGCCCTGTAATAAAACCACATGAAAGGACAGCCAAGGGGGAGAGCTGGTGCTGGCAGGGCTCCTTTTTGCCCTCTGCACTTATCCTGATCTCATGTGCTTGCCCCTCCCACTTGATGCTCCCTTAACTTCAATTCAGCCTTGCTAAAACCAGCAAATTAAACGAGCAATTTTTCCGGTGCCTTCCTCCCTTTCATAGTTTAATTCCCCCGTCTCCAAACACTTGCTAATTAAATTTAGACTTTTCAATTTGACGTTATCTCCCTAAATAGTTGGTAGAACCAGCAATATTTTTCTCTTCCTGTTGTGCCATCATAGTTTACCCAGTTCTACCTGATTCCCCACTTGTTCTGGTTCCACCTTCATGTTTCACGTGTCACTAAGATCTTTCTGGATGATCTAAGGCAATGGTTCACTAAGCACGGTTTTCCCCGCTGGCAGCTTCAACATCTGGAAACATTAAAAACATACCTGGGCCAGCCGAGTGGCACACTGGTTAAGAGCTGGCTTGGGACACCAGAGGGCCCCGGTTCGGATCCCACATATGAGGGGCCAGTGACACTGCCCTCTACAGCTAAGATACTGAACAACAGCTCGACCTGCAGCTGGGCTGCCCGTGAGTCGCTGGTGACGGCATAGGCTGCAGCCCCTGTTGCAGTGGGCTGCAGTAAGCTACTGTGTGTAGCCAGCGGCCAGCAGCCGCCATGCGTGGCCGTCCGGAAGCCAACAACTGATCTGCCTCGCCTGGGAAGAGCGCAATGATGGTGCCAAATTGGGCCAGTGAAGCAATGTCCTCCAAACTAGATTGAAGAACAAAACGACAGCAACTTGTCTGTTCCCCTAATTCCCCAGCGCTGCTCCCATCCCCCAATTCCCCAATAAAAATCTTTAAAAAAAAAAAAAAGGTGGGTCTATCATTTTTTGAAATAATTGACAGCTGAATTGGACTTATTTGGAATATGAGTGTTTATAGCATAATTCTTCATCCCAGCTCCACTTAAAGGGAGAAAAGTTGATATTGTTCATGCAAACAGCGTCACAGGATCTGTTAGACAAGTCACTTGGTTCTGAGTAATAACTGAGGCAGCACCTATAGCTGTTAACTGCTGAGGTGGGAAGTGTACCAAGGAGTGGATAAACAGCCAGCTCAAGGTTCTGGGTTGTGATTCAAACAAAAGTGTCAGCCTGCTGAAGAGCGATTGACAGGCCATCTCACAAAGCTTCAAATGGAAGCGGCACAGAGAAAGTGTTCTCACACACTTTCCTAGCAAGATTGGAATTTACAGGAAGCATTTGGATTGGAAGAAATGCAATGGGGGTACTCTACTATCTAGAACAGGGGTCGGCAAACCGGCTCGCGAGCCACATGCTGCTCTTTGGGTACATTCCGTCTCAAAAGTTTGGTAACCCCTGGTCTAGAAAATGAGGTGATGGCTTAGCTGAAGTGAAGATGTGGTTGCGTTTTTTTTTGCTCCTGAGACAAGGGAAATAAGTCAACAGTTTGCTATGTCACTCTGGTTACCTGCCCAGTGCTCCCCATCCTGCTTTCTACACTGGTTGACAGCGCCCAGTAACTACTATGGGGATGTCTGTGAAGGCAGGTGGGAGCATCTTATACTTTGTCCTCCTCTCAGCAAATGTTTGATAATAGCTGTTCTTTGTCTTCTGTAGCAGCGCTTGACAGAGCCTTACAGACAGATGTTAAGTAATTTTTGCTTGAATAAAGTAGGAAGCTGATAGAGGGCAGAAGCGTAATTCCTATTCTGGGGAAAGTACCAAAAAGCCATCTCTGAGTCTCCACTAAGCACAATATCAAGGATTTAGAAAATACGGGGAAGGTAACTGATACTGGGGGATATGGTAGTGGGAGGGACGTTCTTGAACTAAAGGACCTTTTGCCTCGGGGCTAAAAATCAAGCTTACCTGGCTGGTAAAGGGTTAATAACTTCCCAAGCCTGATGATGGCATATTACCAAATTCTGTCCTTCACACTTATTCGAAACACCTGGGGATTTGTGTATTAGAATCTGTGCCTACGAATTCTATTTTTCTAAAATGAGTATGCCTGATAGGTTGAGCATATCAGTTTTATATAACTGGACACAAAGAGTTCCAAATAGAACACAAGCAGCAACAATTTACGCAAGGCTATTGATAATTCCACAGTTTGGTAGTGTATTGTCTGCATTCAAAGGTCATGGATTATCTGCTATATTTGCAAATGCAGAAAGCTTTCCAAGGAGAATGAAATAACATTTTGAGCTCTTAGCAAAGGCACAGTATAAATGCAAGATTCAGCCAAGAAACGGCTCTCTTCCCGTGCAAGTTAAGCATTCAAACCCCA